CTTCTCGCGGCCATTCGTGGCGGCGAGATTCAGCGCGGTGCTGTCGTCGCTAGACTGCAACGAGAGATCCGCACCGCGCTGGAGCAGCGCCTCGGCCAGCCCCTCGTGGCCCTTCATCATCGCGAGCATAAGCAGCGTCATGCCGCTCACACGGATGCCGCTCGAAAAGACGTAACCGAACGTCGTGTCGATCCGCCCGCCGCCGTCGAGCCAAATCAGCACCGCCGCCTCGTCGCCTCGCCGAGCCGATTGCACAACCTCCTTCGGTACCGCCCCGCCGCTGCTCGGCTCGGCCTCTGCGCCGCCCTCGCCGCTCGAAGCAGAGGCCGCGGCACTCGCACCCGCCGCATCTGCGCCGCCTGCCTCGGCCGACGGTGCCTTGCTCCGTCCCGCCGCCTCGTCTCTCGCCGCCTCCTTCTCCTCTGCCGCCATCTCTTGGACGGCATTGGCCTGCTCGGACACCGGGCCGCGCCACACCGCCCGCTCGGAGGGCCGCGCCTGCTCGATCGCGTCTTGCACCCGCGCGAGCACGGCGAGGCGTTCGCCTGCGAGGCGCTCGACGGCGAAGCGCTCCATCGGCCCCTCCTCCTGTTGCTGCTGCTGCTGCTGCTGCTGCTGCTGCTGCTGCTGCTGCTGCTGCTGCTGCTGCTCCGCCTCCTCCTCCTCCGTCTCCGCCGCCGTCTCCGTCTCCGCCGCCGCCGCCGCCTCCGCCTCCGCCGCCGCCGCCGCCGCCGCCGCCGCCGCCGCTGCCGCCGCCGCTGCCGCCGCCTGCTGCTGCTGCTGCTGCTGCTGCTGCTGGTCAGTGCGCCATTGCTGCTTCCCCGCCATCGACACTTCCTCCACCTCCTCCTCATTTACCTTTGTCTCCTCCCCCAGCTCCACATTCCCCTTCCCCTCCTCCTCCTTCTCCTCCTCCGCCGCCGCCGACGCCGCCGCCGCCGCCTTCTCCGCCTCGATCCGAGCCGTCTCAGCGGCGCGAGCAGCTTCGGCCGCGGCCTCCTCCTCGAGAGCCTTCTTTGCCACCAGCGCCACTTTGGTCGTCTCCAAGCGAGTGCGCCGCGGGACGCCGCCGCCACGGCCCGCCGCCACCTCCGCCGCCAGCGCCGCGTGGTTGACCGCCTCCGCCGCCTCCGCAGCCGCCGCCACCTCCGCCCTCGACACCTCCGCGGCATGCTCCTCGAGAGCCTTTTTTGCCGCCGCCGCCTCTGCTGCTTCCTGCTCGAGGCGAACCTGCTCCGCCGCCGCCGCCGCCGCCGCCGCCGCCGCCGCCGCCGCCACCTCCTCCTCCTCCTCCTGCTCGTCAGTGCGCAACGCCGTCACCGCTGTCAGCGGCACTGGCGGCGTGGCGTCGGCCGGCGTTGGGCGCGGAAGCGCGCGAGCGATGTGCGACTTGAAGGCGTCGACGACT